TTCTTCACCCCAGTCGAAGTTCACGGCGTCCTTCGTAAGGTGCGTTAGCGGCGCAGAAAGCTTGGCGAAATCCTGAACGAATCGCCGGTAGTATGCGCAAAGCCCAAGGAATCTTCGGACGGCAGTTTTGTCGGTGGGCGGTGGAAAGGCCGCTACGGCGCGAGTCTTCTCAGGGTCAGGACTTACACCTTCGTTGCTCACCACGTGGCCCAGGAACTTCAGTTCGCCGTAGGCAAACCGGCACTTCGTCGGCTTGAGGGTGAGTCCTGCGGTCCTGATTGCCTCAAAAACGGCACGAAGGCGTCGCAAATGCTCGTCGAAGTTGGCGGAGAATACCACGACGTCGTCGAGGTAAACGAGACAGCTCTGCCACTTGAGGCCTGCCAGGACGGTGTCCATGACACGTTGGAACGTTGCCGGCGCCGTGCACAGTCCGAAGGGCATCACCTTAAACTCAAACAGTCCGTCGGGCGTGACGAAGGCAGTCTTTTCTCGGTCCCGTTCGTCGACTTCGATCTGCCAGTAGCCACTCTTAAGATCCATCGACGAAAAGTATCGGGAGTGGCGCAGCCGGTCCAGCGTGTCGTCGATGCGGGGGAGCGGATACACGTCTTTCTTGGTGACCGCGTTGAGCCGCCGGTAGTCAACGCAGAATCGAAGCGTTCCGTCTTTCTTCTTCACAAGCACGACTGGAGAGGCCCACGGGCTGCTCGAAGGCTGAATGATGTCGTCGTTGAGCATCTCCTGTACTTGTTCATGAATGGCCTCTCGTTCCTTTGGGGAGACCCGGTACGGCGGCCGATGCACAGGGAGCGCGTCCTCGTTGGTAATGATGCGGTGTTTCGCAACTGTTGTCTGGCGCACCCTCGACGTCGTCGCAAAGCAGTCGCCGAACTCGGCGAGGAGGTCTCCGAGCTGTCGTCGTTCCGTGGCGCTGAGCTTGGGGTTGACGTCTAGCTGTGGCGGCACTGTACTGGACGGCTGACATGGCGAGGGCTCGTCGGAGATCGCGGTGATTTCGGCGTCGGCCACAAGTTCCTCAACGTGTCCTATAGTGGCCCCTTTCGTGAGATGCTGCGCCTCCGGTCGAAAGTTCGTCACGAGGACCACACAACGTCCATCCTGCAGCTCTGCTACGCCCCTTGCGACGCCTATTCCTCTTCCGAGAAGCAGTTGGACGTTGCCTTCCAGAAGGACTTTCCCGCTGGCAACTGCATCGGTCACGACGGGCACACGAACACTCGACCGTGGCGGCAGGTTCACGTGGTCCGCAATGACTCGGACGGCGGCTGGCGACGTTTTGGATTCCTCCGGAGATAGCACGGGCTTTCGCAGCGTCAACCTGTTTGCTCCAAGGTCGATCACCGCACCGTACTCACAGAGGAAGTCCATGCCAAGGATGACGTCTCTCGAACAGTCTTTGAGGACGACGAATTTCACGGGGCAGGTCTCTCCGTGGATGTCCACGCGCGCAGTACACCTTCCCACTGGTGTGATGAGATGTCCGCCGGCGGTTCGTATTTTTGGGCCATCCCACGGCATCATCACCTTCCGTAGGCGGCGAGAGAGCTTCCCACTTAAAACCGAATAGTCTGCTCCGGTGTCGATGAGCGCCTTCGCGTCGTGGCCGTCGATGATTACGTCGAGGTTATTGGACACCGTCTCGTCGCTAGTGGGGGAGCCCTCCGACGTTTGTGGAGGATATTGGCGTCGTTCGTCACCGGCAATACCACCTCCCGGTATTGCCGCACTCAGTTTTCCCGGCGAGGCAGGGGGGACAGGCTTTCTCGGCGGGACCTACGATGAGGCGATGCAAGGCGTTGCGGTGATGGCGATCGGTAACCGCGGCGGGGAGACGGTCCTGGGGATGGCGAACGGCGGAGGTATTCGTCGATGTCCCTGGGTCGCTCTCCGTAACGTGGTCGCGGGTCGTCGGGGTGGAAGCCTCGTAACCCCAGCTGCCGGTACGGGCAACGGCGGTAGACATGATCGGCTTCCCCGCAATGGTAACAAAGCGGGCGTCGGTCGGCCGTTCGCCACACGTCGGTTTTCCTGGGTGCTGGTTTTTCCGGGCGCACGTACTGCCGTTCTTCGCGACGTTGGAAGTACTGTGGCGCTGGAGGTTGACGTCGTGGTGGCACCGTAGCTTGGCGGGGAGCTTGCGGCGGTCGTCTGGCCATGGCGGCGTAGGTTAGCCTCGGTTCCTCAGGGGCTTGCTCGTTGACGGGAGTTTCAGGCTGCAAGGCCCGCTGTACCTCGTCGCGCACGATCTCGGCGACTGACAGCGACGCCGGGCGCTCAGTAGCGGGGAGCAGCTTTCGGAGCTCCTCTCGGACGACGTCCCGGATAACGACGCGTATGTCCCGGGTGCGGGCGCCGATGTCGGTGGAGGCAACGACGCCGGGATGTCGTTGGTAGTAGGAGGCGCGTGCTTGGAGGGCGCGCTCCATGTTCGTTGCTTCCGTGACAAACGCTTCGACGGTGGTCGGCGGGTAGCGGACGAGGCCCCCAAAGATGTCGTCCCTCACCCCGCGCATGAGGACACGCAGCTTCTTGTCATCGGTGGCTTGTGGGTCGGCACGCGCACTCAGTCGCAGGACGTCTTGAACGAAGCTGGTGACGCTTTCGTTGGGGCCTTGCATCCTCGTCCGAAGGAGGTCCTCGGCTCTCTCTTTTCGGTGGTGACTGGCGAACGTCCCTCGGAGCTCTCCTTTCAGCTGGTCCCATGACGTAATCGAGGTTTCACGATTCTCGAACCACTGTCGCGCCGTTCCCTCGAGGGAAAAATAGACATTTTGAAGACGCTGTTCCGGAGTCCATTGGTTGTGCAGCGCCACCCGTTCGTATTGCTGCAACCAATCTTCGACGTCTTCGTAGATCTCGCCGTGGAAGGACGTCGGTGTACGAGGGGCGACGGGCAGGTAGACGACGGGGGCGACAGTCGGGGTCTGCGACGACTGGGGGTCCATGGTCGGCTTCGTCGACTGGTTGGTCTTCTTCGGCAGTAGACCGTATGAAACTTGTGCAAAGTACCCCGCACCTCCACCAGAAATGTCACGAACGAAGGTGACAAAAAGCCGAGAAGTGAACTGAAAATAAAGATTTACTGGGCGAACTTGTGCCAACCAAAAATAAATAACGAAAGGGCGTCGAGGTAGCAGAAAAGCGGGCGGCGGTTCGGCGGCACTACAGAGCGCTAGCGAGACTGGGACTGACTCGACAAGGTCGCGGGCAGTTGCTTATCTACCGTGCGTCACTATCTCGAAAGTTCGGCAAGGAAGGTTCGAGCGTCGCGCTCTCGGGGCGAGGATGAACTGGCACTTTCGAGAATAACAAAGCAGAGGGAAAGTTACGCCTGCTGCGAGAATGACCGGGAATCTTCTAGAAGACCGTGACCAAGCGTTGCCTTCTCGGCTCTGCGGGCGGCAATATGATATGTTCAAGTAACTTGGAACAAACACAGGTTAAGGAGATGGGCCTGTAATTAGAAACCAGGCTTTTTTGGCCTGACTTATGGATGGGCACAACATTTGCCGTTTTCCATTCCAAAGGTAGCCTGCTAGTAAAGAGCGATTTGTTGAAAAGAATAACTAGAAAAGGTGAGATTGCTGCAGCACAAACTTTCAGAACGTGGTTAGGAATGCCATCAGGCCCCATAGCTGAATGAGATTTCAGATTACGCAGTAATTTCAGTACGCCATAATCTTCTACCACAAACTCAGGCATTCTATCAAAAGTTGTCTCGGAAGATTCTCGTACAACTAGCTCGGTTGTCGAAAAGACAGATTGAAAGAAGTTATTGAAGCAAACAGCTTTGAGAAAGTTATCGGAGGTCAGTTCATCATTGTTCAGAATTGCTGGAATGCCCACAGATTCACTCTTGCCCGATTTTCTAACCGTTTTCCATAGTTCCTTTGGGTTGTTAAGTAATTTTGGTCCCAGTGCCAAAAAGTAGTGTTCCTTCGCTTCCTTAACTTTAGTCTTAAAGATATTATCCAGCAAACGAAGTTCAATTTTGTTGGCTGGGTCCCTCGTTTTCTTATATTTTAGAAAAAATCTTCGCTTTTTATTTAGAAGACGTCGCAACTCCTTTGTCATCCACGGTTTGTCATTCCTGCGCCTTCCCGACAACATCCTAGAAGGAATATATTCAGTGATAAGGGAAGAAAGTTTATTCTTAAACAGATTCCATAATTCTTCAATGTCAAGCAATGTGCACGCACATTCAAACTCGGGAAGATAAGCCAGGAGGTCGAAAAACAAGCTGTCGTAATCACCTCGGTCAAACAGATAAACTTTTTTGGGGCATGGCTTATCAGTCACAGTGTGCTTACATGTTACATTTGTAATGATAGCTTCGTGGTCACTGATACCCGGAGCCGTCGTTACCAAACGGATGGCGGACGGGTGATTTGTAAGGAAAAGATCTAGTATAGATTTACTTGTTGCGCCGTACCTTGTTGGAAGCAATACAAACTGTTGCAACTCATGGGTGTCTACGAGTTCCTTGAAAGTTTTATACAGTGACGAAGAATTTCGCAAAAGGGGCAGATTGTCGACCCAATCAACGTCCGGAAGATTGAAGTCGCCACTAAGAATAACGTCATCAGGCGTTATCGCAGATAGCACATTGGAAAGACACAAAAGGGGATTCAGTGAATTGTTACTTGGGGGTCTATAAAATACGCCTACAGTTAAAAATTTATAACCTTGCTGTTTTATCTTGCACCAAACAGATTCGCACACACAGTCTTGAAATTCAAGAGCTGTGCTTTGTAGGTTTTTCGAGACGAGTAAAAACACACCCCCTCCCCTCGAATTTCTGTCTTTGCGGTAGACCTCGTAGTTGGGTGGAAATATTTCGGAGTTGGTCATGGAAGGGTCAAGCCAAGATTCGGTACCACAAACAATGTCAGCATCCGTTGTAGCAAGAAGAAAAGCAAGGTCATCCTTTTTATTTCTGATACTCCTACAGTTCACTGTAACAAAGACAAGTTCCTGTACGTCAGGCCCTCTGATATCGCTTTTTTGTCGTGGCTATACAGAGGTTTCAAACACGACGTCGGTGTCAGGATTGTACTGGTATGTTTTACCACGAATAACTAACTTGTTGTATCGTAGTTTGAATTGGGCGTTTTGTTCCCTGGCGTACTCTAAAAGTTTGCGTCGTGAGAGTTGTATAGCAGGTGAGAAATCCTCACCAATGGAAAAGCCACTCCCCTTTAGTTTATAGGCGACTGACAGTATTTTTTGTTTATCTTTAAATGACAGAAACTTTGAGATAAGGGGGCGTCCTCTCTCTTCGGAAAAAACGGCCTAGCCTGTGCGCACGTTCTATGTTAGTGGGCTCAAGCTTTACGCCGAGCTTATCAGAGCAAAAGGTGATCACTTTGGCCTCAGATTCTTCCCAGGTTTCATTTGCTTTGTCCGCCAAGCCGTAAAAGATAAGGTTGTTTCGGCGCGATTGATTTTGTACTTCATCCTGTTGTGCGGTAGTCATTCTAAGTTGGGTGTCAAGTTCCAGATTCGCCGTTTTTATGTCAGCAACTTCGTCTCTCAAGGATTTAACCATAGTCATCTCGCTTTCAATAGCTGTTATCCTAGATGACAAGCCCTCTAGTTTTCTTTCGAACGATGTTTGCATTTCCCTAATGGCTTTCAATTCATTCAACATTGCTTTTTGCCCCTCGTTCATGCCAGGTATTAGTAGCATAGCATCGACTAGTTGTTTCTCCTGTGTAGAAGTGAGCGGGCCTGGGTTCGCTTCTATATCTCCTGCCATCAATAGTCGTTGTTTCACGAACCTAGCCACAGCTAGGCTGTATTTAGTGTAGCAATCGGTAATACCAACATACATTTGACACAAAAGGTTGGGTCTCAGTGCCGACAATCCAGAATGGCCGTTGTGCCTTACATACTTATAAGTGTATGAAAGACCCACCTGTAGGAACAGGGAGAATGAGCGTCCGTCCGACATGTCGGCACCGAAACCCGAGGGTGGATGGTCGAGCAGTCTCTGATATACACTCCCATCACATGACGTGGAACAGAGTTGTCTGCTGTAGTCACAGTTGAAAGTCAAGCACAGCTTCGAAAGATCCAGCGACGAAGCGTTGCAGAGCCAGGGCAGAATGACCGGGCATGTACCGTCGCTGGGTGACGCATCATCTTTGACAGTTGACGTGTAGACGGTGCCGCACTGGACGACGATCAGCCCAAGTACCTGTAGGAACAGGGAGAATGAGCGTCCGTCCGACATGTCGGCACCGAAACCCGAGGGTGGATGGTCGAGCAGTCTCTGATATACACTCCCATCACATGACGTGGAACAGAGTTGTCTGCTGTAGTCACAGTTGAAAGTCAAGCACAGCTTCGAAAGATCCAGCGACGAAGCGTTGCAGAGCCAGGGCAGAATGACCGGGCATGTACCGTCGCTGGGTGACGCATCATCTTTGACAGTTGACGTGTAGACGGTGCCGCACTGGACGACGATCAGCCCAAGTACCTGTAGGAACAGGGAGAATGAGCGTCCGTCCGACATGTCGGCACCGAAACCCCCGCGTAACGCCACTTTATCTAACGACTGAAAGGTTCTGTTACTGGAAATAAAGGTGCCAAGAGAGTTTAGCTATGGGTTTGAAATTTTTTCTACATTCTTAAGTGTGTAGAAATTTTTATCGTGTAACTCGGTCAACATGTCACTAATGGTGAGTGCCCTGACCAGGGCAGCTCTGTTGAGGCGCTCGATGCCAGGAATTCTTTTAGAGCGCAGCTCTTAGGCGCTCGTTTCGGAATTAAACGGCGTTCCGGGCTGAGCGGAGATATTTTCCCGCTAAATTTAGTTGGAAAAATTTTTTCGCAAAATATAGCGGGGACATTTTTCAGCTAAATTTAACGAGGAAATTGACGACACGTGACCTCAACACCAATTTAGGTTCCGCGCTAAATTTAGCGAGGAAATTGACGTCACGACTTCGTGTCACGTCACCCATGAACAAATTCAGCGCCAGGAGGAGAGGAAGAGGAAAAGAGGGGGAGGAGGGGAGGAGGAGATAGGAGAGGAGAAGGTGAGGGTACAGAAAAGGAAGAGGGGCATACCCTCACCTCCGTACCCTCCCCTCCACCTCCTCAAGAGCAGTTCAAGAAGGAAGATAAAGCTCCGCCCACCTCTTTTCACTACAGCAGAGCGAACGCTGGAGAGGAAGTGACATTCTCTCCAAAGTTCGCTCTGGTAAAGTGGAAAGAGGTATGAGGAGCTTTCACTGCCTTCTTGACCTGTCACCGACTGTAGTTTCGCATTACAAAGATTTGTAACCGTCTTTCATTTTTTTTTAAATGGAATATTTGTTTCGCCATGCCAGTGCGCCTTTCGTCGTTTGCATGCTCACCAAGTACCGCGCGGATAAAATCTACTCGACTAAACGATTCACGAGATTTAGTTTTCCACGCTACGACATTGTAGTTTCCCAGTGCAGCTGGCTATGGCATTTGCTTTTTAAAAATGTCAAAACAATGACTCGCAAAAAAAAAAAAAAAAGCTACGCCATTGTGTAGTTTTTTTCTTAGCGTCTAGAAACACGCGTTTTTCTTTTCTTCAAACAACCGAACAATTCAGATGGTTGTGGCTGAGATGTTGTGCCACTGTACAGTGCTCACTATAGAGCTATACGAAACACGCGATATGTGTATTTCCTAATGGGCGCATTATGCTGGTGGCAACCGAGCAATGGTTTCGTGACGAATCGCTTAACAAACCATTCCGAAGTGTTATGTCACGGGTTTAGCGTCCTCCGGGCCGCGATTAACCCTGCCATGAAAAAACAAGGAGTTCACGTGTTCCGTATAAGTTTGGTTAAGCACCACGTATCTTTTAAAGAAAATAAAGCAAGCACTAACTTTCCTTAGAAGACAATACTAATAGAGATGACGAAATGAGAAGTGAGTCTGTCGCAAAACGGCCTCAAATTACACAAAGAGCGGAAATTACCAAGTAATGGATGGAAAGTCGCAGAAGAGTGAATAAACTTCCACAAGGTGATTCTTAATTGAAGAACCTAAAAAAAAAAAAAAAAAAAAAAGAAGGCTACCCTCGGCGGGATTCGAACCCGCAATCCCCGGTTTAGGAGACCGATGCCTTATCCGTTAGGCCACGAGGGCCTGGGTGCAAGGTGGAGAATTCCGAAGTCCCACAAAATCAAGCGTAAAAATACCATGTGTTTTGGTAGCGCCACCTCGCGGGCACCATCCTGTGATGCAGCTGGGAGTATGCAAGCAGACGACGCGCTATGTCAAAGCACGGAATGGCAATATTAGTTCGCATCTATGCCGATTAAAACGGTTTATTTATTAACAAAACATGTATAACGCTTTCGTGAGCGATCTTTCTGATGAATGAATAACAGCGCCTTGAAGTTGCTTTTTATATTAAAAAAAAAATCTTTGAATGTTGAAAAACAAGCCTGGAGCCTCACATTACAGCTTTCACGCCGTGCGTCAGGACTATTTACAGCCCCTCTGGTTCTTTTTTTCGGATTTGGGGAAGCTACTGCAGAAAAAGGTTTTGCATTCACCAGAGTAAATGACGTCATGTCTTTTTAGGTGTGAACGCGCGCACAATTGTGTTGCAAAGTGCCGCACACTTGTTTTAACTACATTGAGCTTGCCGACACCGACGTCTCAATCTACGTGTGACTCGACAGTTGCTACCGAGCAGATGCTCGGCAGCAACTGGCACTTAGCTCCTCCCGAATCAAATACGTGGCAAAGAATAGTCACATTGCGACTTCTGCTGAAAGTAAAAGCACATTTTTTTAGAGCGCAGCTCTTAGGCGCCCGTTCCCGGCTTGAGCGGCGTCGGCGTCGCCGTCGGCGTAGCCGCAACCCTCGTAACCCTCGTGAGGGTTACGAGGGTTAATCTCATGAGGGTTACCCTCACGAGGATCACGAGTGCCACGAGGGTTACTTACATTCGTAACCCTCACGAGGGTTACGAGGGTTAGTTACCCTCAAAAGGGTGACCTTCACGAGGGTTACCCTCACGAGGGTTACTTACCCTCGCAACCCTCACGAGGGTTACGAGGGTTAGTTACCCTCAAAAGGGTTACCTTCACGAGGGTTACCCTCACGAGGGTCACGAGGGTTATGAGAGTTACCCTCACGAGGGTCACGAGAGTTACCCTCACGAGGGTCACGAGAGTTACCCTCACGAGGGTCACGAGAGTTGCCCTTACAAGGGTTACTAGGGTTAACCTCACGAGGGTCACGATGGTTACCCAGGTCACGTGACCTTCCGGGGTCACGTGACCTGGGGATACCCGCCGAGGTCACGTGACCCCCCGTTGACGTCATCGCCACTGATGACGTCATCAGTGACGTCACCGATGACGTCACCGGCATCCGCATCGTCATCGTCATCATCATCACTGATGACGTCACCGGCATCCGCAATGTCATCGTCATCATCATCACTGATGACGTCATCAGTGACGTCACTGATGACGTCACCGGCATCCGCATCGTCATCATCATCATCACTGATGGCGTCATCAGTGACTTCACTGATGACGTCAACGGCATCGTCACGTGGTCCCAGGTCACGTGACCCCCCGACGTCACGCGACGCCCCAAGGTCACGACTCCCACAAGGTCACGTGACCCCCAAGGTCACGTGACCCCCCGCCCCCCGAGGTCACTTGACCCACCCCCCCCAGTACCCTTTCCTCCTCCTCCTCAAGAGCTGCGCTCTAATTCGGCGTTACAGGGAGTTGTAAACGGCTTTCATTTTTTATAAATTCTTAAATTGTCGCCTATAGTCCGGCCAATGCAAGCTATTGATCAATTTGTTCTATCATATTTTTACTATCAATTGTTTACAAATTTCAAATCGCTCCCTGGGAAGCGCATCACGCATTATGCGCATTTGGGTCTGGAAACATTAAACATACGAACGGTAGTAATTTATAGCAAGTGTATTCCTCATTTTTTGGGACGCTGAAGTGTCAACGACTTACAATATTTAGAACTTCCATCGCGAGTGCGTCTCGCATGTATCATGTCGACCGGGCAAATCAGCAGGGATTTAGTGGAAACAATCTCGGAAGCCAGCCACCGCTTCTTCCCGCCAGTTATTTTGAGGAAATGTTCGTTTACTAATTTACAAAACTAAAACTAAAAAAAAAAAGAATCACCTCGGAACTAATAAGAGACCAGCACTCACAGAACACGTTGCAACCAACAAGATACACGGAGTCGCTTTCAGTGAAGTGTGCAATACACACGCGAGAGGTTCTCGAATTTCGTTTTTCTAATTTTCAATTTGATAAGACATTCTTTTCTAAGTTTTATGTTCTTCGACATCATAAAATTATACACCCTATTCGCCGTAGTAGATGTCGCAAGTAGTGTAGTAAAGCGCGGGATATTCTATATTCATCATTCGTCTTTTTGTACTGGGGTAGAGAGCGGCACACCGCTATCCCATGCGCTTCGACAGATCAGCGCGAAAAGTGTTTGTTAGCATGACTACGCGTGCCATGGTTTCAAGCTTGGGTAAAATGTCTCAACAACAAATATCACTTCACCAGATAAACGCAACGCGTGAAACAGGCTTTGCGGCGCGTTGGCCAAACAGCGCATGAAGCAAACTGACGAGCCGAGAGATCCGAGATCTGCGCGGTCTGTCCCAGTCTCTCCTACCCGTGAAAAACGACGATGATGATAGCTAGAGAAGTGCACCCTGTAGTTCGCACACGCCGCCAATATATTCACTCCGCGCGACGCGACCGGCGCGCCGCCGCGCAGCTGTTACTGAAGGTAGGCAGTGAGAACTCCAGTGAAACGAAACCCGCGTATATTGGTATGCTAGAAGACGAACCGGTGGCGCTGAATTGACAGCATGAGCTGCTGTGTCCGTTAAAGGGGCTCTGCACTCCTACTTAAGCGTAAACGTTTTTTGCGGTTTTCACATATCTTGGGGTTCGGGAAACCCAGCGGGTACGGAGAGAGTAAATAAATATCAGTGCGTCATATTTTAACCGGACGACGCGGACGCCTCCTGCACCTACGGCGGCGCCCCGTGGTACCGAACGCGCGCGGCATGTGACGACATCGTGACGTTGTTGGTCCTGGCTAGCTCCTGCCTTGCGACTAATCAGAGCCGCTAAAAACTTTTTTTTAATCGAAATACAAAATATAAGTGGCGCGAACTGTTTCAATTATTTTTAACAGTAGTTTTTGTTCAGTATTTTAGATCAGAAAATAAACAAATGCAGTTTATAAAGTACGAAAACAAAAAATGACCCGTCGACATACCCGCCACCAAGCGATGGA